AAAAGAAACAGTTTCATCACTGGAAAAATTTCTCTAGTGCCCCCCTGTCATCATCCTTTCCACTACTCGGAGCCACTGGCAACCACACTCATCTGTTTTCTGTTTCTTGAGTTTTGCCTTTTCCCCACTATCAAGTAAATGGAGTCATCCAGTATGTTGTGTTTTGAGTCTGAATTGTTTTACTTAGCATAATGTGTTTGAGGTTCATTCATGTTGTATGCACCAGTAGTTTGCTCCTTTTTACTGCTGATTCATGGTCCATTGAATGAAGATACCATAATTTGTTTAACCATTTATCATTTCATGGACATTTGAGCCAGTGGCTGTCATAAATAAAGCAGCTTTGAACATTTCAATACAAATATTTGTGGGAACATGTTTTTCTTTTACCTTTGTATTATTTAGAAATATGTGTTGTTCGATTCCCAAGTATTTTGAAATTTTCTAAATGTCTTTCTGTTACTGATTTCTTGCTTAATTCCATCGTGCTTAGAGATTTATGTTGTATGGTTTAGTCCTTTTAAATGTGTGGAGGTTTGTTTTATGGCTCATAATACAGTCTATCCTGGCGTATGTTCCATGTACACTTGAGAACTTGTATCCTGTTGTTGGGAGGATTGTTTTATCAGGTTTTTGATAATGTAGTTACAGTCTTGTATGTCCTTAGTCATTTTGTGTCTGTTACATCAATTACTGAGAGAAGAGTGTTCATTTGCAACTATAATAGTGGTCTTTTGTTTCTTCTTTTGGTTTAGTTCATATTTTCTACATGTATTTTGAAGCCTTGTTATTAGATACATAAACATTTATGATTCTTTTATCCTCTTGAAAAATTGACCCCTTTATCATTATGAATTGCTCCTATTTGTCCCTGATAATATCCCTTGTTCTGAAATATATTTTGTCTTATATTGTGATAGGGAGAATTACCTCCCAAAGATATCCATGCCCTAAACCCTGGAACTTGTAAATACGTTACATGACAAAAGGGACTTTGCAGATGTAATTAAGGTTATAGTATTAGTTTTCTGTTGCTGCTGTGACAATTGTGACACATTTAATGGCTTTAAACTACATAAATTGGTTATCTCCTAGTTCTATAGATCAGAAGTCCCAGTACATCATGGCTTAATTAGGTCTGCTTAGAGTCAGTTGGGCAATTTACTTCCGTAGTGATACTGCCTTGGAAACCCAAGGAGGGGTCGCTATGAGTCGAGTCCGACTCAACAGCACATAACAACAACAACAGAGTCTCACCAGGTTGAAATCCAGATGGTGGCAGAACCTTATTCTTCTGTGAAGACTCAGGATTAACTGCTTCCAAGCTCATTTGTGTTGTTGTTAGAATTCCATTCCTTGTGGTTATATGGCTGAGGTCCCCATTTTCTTGTTGGCTGTCAGCTGGGATTGTTCTCAGTATCAAGAGGTGTATGAATAATTTCTTTTGGAAGGGTCAGCACAATGCTGGTCCCTATGAGGTGGAGGTTAATGATGTCCCAAATGTCCAACTTTTCCAAATTGCTGTACCACTGTATCATCTCTAATATCAACTACTCCTCCCCTCAGTACTGTCCTTCCTGTCTTAGGGTTTTGTTACTCTCTGTATGTCTCACGGAGCCCACAAAACACCAAAGAAATGGCTCACACAGTTATGGAGGCTGTCAAGTCCCTAATCTGTGGGTCAGGCATCAGTCCGGAGGATTCTGTTCATTCATGTGGTGGCAGGAGCTGGTGAACCCAAATGGGCAGATCAGATGACAGGCTGCTGGCTCATAAGGCTGTAGCAGCTGGTGAATCAGGTTACATGATAGGCTGCTGACTCAAGTTCCTAAAGCTGGAGGTCAAATGAAGACAAGCCAGATGCTAGATCCAGATTGCCATAGCATTCAGGTGTATTGGACACAAACTATATTCTTAAGGAAACTAAGGTGGTGACTCAAGATACGTCACACCCTAATCCTGCCTCATTAGCATAACAGACAACTCACTCCAAAATGGGACTATAACTACAGGCATTACAATTGAAAACAAACAAAAAAAGCCCACGGCCATCAAGTCAATTCTGACTCATAGTAACCCTGTAGGACCAAGTGGAACTGCCCCATAGGGTTTCCAAGGTTGTAAATCTTTATAGAAGCAGACTCTCATCTTTCTCCCATGGAGCAGCTGATAGGTTTGAACCACTCACCTTTTGGTTAGCAGCCAAATGCTTTAACCACTATGCCATCCTTAACCACAGGCATGTTGTTGTTGTTGTTGTTGTTGTTTGCCGTTGAGTCGGCCCCGACTCATAGCGACCCCTCCTTGGGTTTCTGAGGCAGTGTCACTACGGAAGTAGGATTGCCCAACCTTCCTTCCGAGGAGTGGC